ACACCTCTAGTCCCACAAAAACATATTTAGAAAATGAAAACACCCAGAGATGCAAAAGCCAGAATATCTGTACACATACACACACACACCCATTAAAGATTACTTCAAACCTCACAACTTGGGTAGTCTCTATCTCTAATAGCCCCAAGAAAAGAAGTCAGGAGAGTAGAGATTAGAATGATCAAGGTTAGATTGAAGAAAATTTGCTGAGGTTAAATAATATATATATATTTTAAAGACATACTGCTTGGCTTTGAAAATTTCATCTCCAAAAGTAGCTTAGTAAAAAACTGGAGATGCATTTTAATGCAGATTCCTAGGCTTCATTCAAAGCAACTGACTAAAAATCCCTGGAGTTGTGGCCCATGAATCTGAATTTTAAAAGCATTCTAACTGAAATATATTTTAAATTTGGGCTTAAGCTGGTACCTCCAATCCAATCAACCATTATATGTCTACCTATCTCTACTCCCACTGTGAGTGTCCTAGTTCATCCCCCCAAAATTAACATATATACTCCTCTGTTCTATCCTACTATGCACATAAAATAGTTCCAGTATTGCTTCCAACTTTCTAACTTCTTCCTTCCTAACTTCTTTTCTTTTGGGTTACTGGAAGTAAACAATGCCTCTAGTGAAGTACTACTATCAAACACAAATCTGCTAACTTCATTTCTCGATAATTCCTTCTGACCTTAGAATGTCCCGTGAAGGCATATAATCAGAATATTCTGGTCAGCCAGCCACAGAGGTGCACACCTAAAAGCTCAAGAGCAGGCTAAGGCAGGAAGATTGCAAATCAAGACCAGCCTCAGCAACTTAGTGAGGTCCTGTCTCAGAATGAAATTTTAAAAAAAAGGTGGGGGGCTAGCAATGTAGTTCAGTGGTAGAACACACCTGGTTCAATCCTAGTACTGAAAAAAGAGAAAAAGAATGCTCTAGTCAAAAGTTTCTTCAATTTTTTTATATCTGATTATGTTATCTGATTATGCTACTAATTTGTTCAGTTTTAGGGTCTCTTTTTCCATCTCTTTTTACTAACATATAAAACATTTAAATAGTTCAAAAGTCAAAATTGTTATTATATTCAAAATCTTAATCCTTTCTCTATTCCTTCCACTTCAGTTGAATCCATTCCCTATATGTAATATTTATCACAGCTCTGATTTATATTCCTAAATTTCTTTTACATAACAATGAAGAAATGTATAATGTATTGTTTCTTCTCTCCTCCAAAGAAAAGTTACACCCCCACACACTACTTTTGTATTTTTTCTTTTATTTACTCCAAACATCAAAAACTTAATAGGTTAACTTTTCCCAGTAAGGTGAGAAAATTTAAACTCCTTTCCTCCAGTTCAGATTACAGAATCACTCATTATGAAATATTCAAAGAGTTATTTTTAATAATGTAATCTTCCCTACAAAAATGAAACGGAGTTTTAACCAAATATTAAAACTCTTGAGTCCTTTCTAGTGAACATGGAAGCATTTTCTCCTCTAGGTGAACTGACTCTACGTTTTTTGAAAGGTGGTGATAGTCACTTTAATCTGGATCCTACCCTATCTTCAATCAGTATAAACTATCTTCCATTTCCCCTAATCTATCTCCTCCACACCTAAAGAGGAAGTAGTAGGCAGATTATAAGAGTATGAAACTGAGGTCAGACACATTAATGAGAAATCAAACTTTCTATGCTTAATTCCCTAAAATTTAGACCAAGTTATTCAGGTGGCATTCATATATGCATAAGCTTTCAGTATTCTAGCTCATCCTGAAAAGGGTACCCCTATAGCCAAGTGTTTCCTATGAGTTCTTTTTATTTTTCTTTAAATATTTTTAGCTGCAGGTGGATACAATATTTATTTATTTGTTTATTTATTTATTTAATGTGTGCTGCGAATTGAACCCAGTGCCTCACACATGCTAGGCAAACACTCTACCACTGACCCACAATCCCAGCCCTCCTAAGAATTCTTAAAAATATCCTTCTTCAAACACAGCTCAATTTTCACTTCCCCCAATAGCTTTCTAATAACGGCCCCTTCCCTTTACTCTCACAGCATTTGTTCTTTGTACATTCACTTTAGAGCCTCATCCTACTCCCCATAAACTCTTTTAGTTGTAACCTTCAGTTACATGTAAAATGGATATGTTTATGGCTTACACATAGGTGTGCCCAATTAGTCAACTATTTATAGCACTTACTCCACATTTCTCTATTAAAGAGCTTTTTATACAGCATCATAATTACCTGTGTGTGCACACGCGCACATGTGCATATCTTCTCCATCCAATAAAGTTTATAAACTCCCTTAGAAGCCCTGTGCTAGGCTTCTTAATTTTGCCAAAGCCTTAGAATACTACTTCACAAGAGTACATAGGAAATAAATCCTTTCCAAATTAATGAGTGAAGGATTATAAATTAGCTAGGATTATAAATTAGGGTATTATCTAGATTAGAGATTCCAAATTAGTGGTCCACAGACTCAACACAGACAAGGGACTTATATTTGTACTGCAAAGTACTTAACAAAGAAGCAATTGACTGGGAACATTTGAAAATGGGAAAACCACATACAAAAATACAGATTTATTGCTTTTCTTGGGGAGAAGAGAACTGAAATATCTACTTTGTGTCCTAAAGACCACAAGTAACTAGAAAACAGCTGTTCCTTTTACATTAGATATGCACTCTTCAGGTGATAGATTTTTACTTTGTTCATTTATGCCACTTGACTGTTATCTGCAAGCATTTAGGTCAACAACTACTGAAAAAAACCCATGAATCCCTAATGGCTGTCTTATTCAAATTTGGGCCATTTCTACTCCCTGGCAATGATGTTTTTCTATCATCAAATGGGTTTATCAAAATCTCCTCTTTTCCTTATCCAAAATCTTTAAAAAAAAAAAAAAGAATCTACAGCATCCCTGTGATAAAAACAAAACAGAGTTTAGATTGATGACTTACTTAAATTGATGGCTTGCTTAGATTGATGCCTTGATTCTTAGGTCAAATTTTATCATGTATTTCCTCCACTGAAATATTCTGTTAGAGTGAACTCTATTCAAACGACTACTAACAAGTCACTTTTCACACTGAGAGCCAGTGGCAAATTAAATTCAATAAATATTTGTGAAGCTTTTGCAAAATCATAGCTCCTGTGTACTAATTAAAAACATATGCAATGAAATTGTCAAATCTACAAAGTCTGGTACCAAATCTTGTCTCTATCATTCTCTAGCCAAGAACTCTGCAAAGTTACTTAATTTCTCAAAGTCTTTTTAAAAATTTTTCTTATATTCAAAATTTGAACAACAGTAAAGTGAAAAGACAAAGGTTTTGAAGCAGAAAGGCTTATGAGAAACTCTAGAACAGCTATCATTCAGTGGAGACATAAAACCCATAAACCGCTGCCACACTACCACACAACAGACAACAAGATAGATAATTTCTGTGTAAGAAAATGAATAAAACGTGCAGAGACAAAGGAAGTAAATTAAATTATTTGCTGTATAACACAAATTAGCTAAGAAACTAATGTGATGATACACCAAAATGCTCCTTAAAGAAGTGGTTAATTCTAGGGCTGGGGAAGAAAGATGCATGAAGACCCTGGAACATCTATTTGGTGGTGATGCTAAAAAGGAAGAAAGTGCTAAACAAACAAAAAGAATGGGGCCAACCTTTAAGAATTCCCAATGGCCAAAGCTGCAACAATTTGAATAAGAGTAACTAACACACACACACACACACACACACACACACACACACACACACACACACACAAATAATAATAATAAAAAAATAAATAGCTATAAGTGCACAGTATTACAAATAAATGAGTTAACAAGTAAATAGAAGGAAGAAAAAGAATAACTCTTTCTTACTGAAAATATCAATTAGCAAATGTAGAAGGAAATGAGGAAAAGAGGAACTCCCCACCAGGAAACAGTAAAAATTGCAGCAGTTATTACCTACCAATGAATGCTTAAATGAATGGGAAAAGGTTTAAAAAGAAAGAGTATCTGCATACACACAAAGTATTTACAAAGTGGTAAACAGTAGTTTTATAATGAAGAAACCTGGCAGATATCACTTTGAACAAGAGAATCATTAATGTTGTTAACATTAACAACAGTAGGACAGACTGACATCATCCAATACTCTCATATGCAGAGAAGGACACATTACCTCTTCATTATTCTTCCCCCAAATGCAATACAACTATCTAATTATGAGAAAATATCAGACAAATCTACACTGAGGGAAATTCTACAAAATATTTGACAAGGGCTCTTCAAAAATATTCATGTCATAAAAGACAAAAAAGATTGAGAAACCTTTACAAATTGGAGGACACTGAGAAGACATGATGAATAAATAAAATGTAGGATTCTAGACAGGATCCTGAAATAAAAAAGGGCACTAGTGGGAAAACTGATGAAATCCTAATAGGGCCTATAATTTACTCAGTACTTAGCAGTACTATCTGGTCAAGAGTATTGTAGCAATATTAATTTCTTAATTTTGATAACTATACTATAATTATGTAAAATGTTAATATTAGAGGAAGCTAATTAAGTATATAGGGGAACCTTTTGTACTTCTGTAACTTATACATAAATCTAAAATTCTATCAAACTAAAGACTTTTTAAAAAAGACTGTGGATAATGAATACACTATTAGTTACAGTACTATGTTGTTTTTACGTTAGTTTTTACATCAATTTACCTAAACTGTAAGTATTTTTTCCCACTGAATGCTACAGTCTCATCACTCTTTATGCTACATAAACACAGTAACATAATAAAGCTCTAACAATTTGTCAAAAATAAATTTATCCACCTAAATTTAAATTTTCTAACATCCTAAAAATGACTAGAATCATCTTCAGCTTCAATTATATGAGCTTCCACAAAGCTTCATTTTCAACAGCTGTCAACACTATTATCATTGCTTATTGCATAAAAGTACATTTTTAAGTAAAATACTTACCTTCCAACCACTGCCAGCCTCTCTATAATATGGAAAATTATCACAAATCCACTGGTAAATCTCACTTAAAGTCATTTTCTTTTTGGGAGAGCTATTGATTGCAAATGTAATGAGGCTGGCATAACTGTATGGAGGTTTCCCATCTTTGTGCTGTTGGACTTCTTCCTGGTCCAGAGTTGTATTGGGGTCAAGGAGTGCATTCTTCTTAGAAATTCCTGTTCCATGTGCATTTTGTGTAGCATCAGATTTTTGGATGGCTGCTCTCATGGTGAGCTGTGGTAACCAGTCCATAGATGTTAGGCTGCTCTCCAGTTCAGATGTCATCCTGAAGGTAAATAGACTCCTTAGTCAATATCAAGGAAAGAACCCCTGCTTCTCAAAATAATCCAATATTCACAAATCTAGGAGTTCCAAAGTGAGGGAAAGCCTGAGTTAAATCTGGAGGAAAAAGATTGAGTATGTTAATGACCAAACCAAATATTAAGGGATCAACATTTCCAATCTTTTTTCTTACTTTTTTCCTCTCCAAAACATATAATACACTTGTTTTAAAGTGTTTAAAATACAAAATGATATATACAGACCAAGTGATGTTGATGCTGATCTTTCTTTTAAAAAAATAATGTCTGCTACTTTAACAGGGCAACAGAATCTTGGTATGAAAAACTTCCATCTACTGCCCAGCTTTCTACACACCAAAACACTGCATGTCCTTAAAAATTTGAAATAGTAAATCTGTACAATTTCTTTTATACAAATTTTAGGAGAGTTATACAAACAAAGGAATGCCAAAAATAGAGTGAAGAGATCAAAGAAGTAACTGAGAAATACACACAGGAATTTGAATGGAGGAAAGAGGGCAGAGTTGAGCAGGTGGGAGGCAGGAAAAGTAAAGCTGGGTAGACAAGAACAGCAAGGAGACAAGCTAGCTGGGGGAGTGTACTAAAAAGAGGAATGCAAAGTCAAGGACACTGATGAGTAGGAGAAACGGAAGATAAGCAGTACCAGGCAGTTATTAAAAAAAAGAACAAGTCAAGGAACCAGCTTGTAAAAACTAACTGAAGTTAGTTAGGAAGTATAGGATATAAGAGACTAAAATCACATAAATGGCCAGGAAAAAAAAAAAAAAAGGCATTCCAAGCTCAAGGCCAGCCTTGGACAAATGTCCAGTGATTTGGATTCTAATACATTCATTCCAAGGCTAATATATTCACCCCATTACCCCTCAAAGAAACAAAACACAGTCTGCCAGGTTGACACATATTCTACAAAAGTCTTAGAGTAGCTCTTCTAAGAGCTAAAGATGAAAATACAGAAAGGAAGCTTGACACCTCACACTGAAATTGTTAACTTTCAACAGAACATACACAAGTCCTTCTATTCTATTATCAAATTCAGGAACAATGACCCTGACAATTAAAAAAAAAAGTGAAAAAGAAAGACTTCTAGTGACAACAAAATTTAAAAGAAAGAAAGAAAGAAAAGAGGAAAGGAAAAGAAAAGAAAATTAAAGTACCTGAGTCAAAAAAAAAAAAAACCACATTTGGGGCTCAATGGTATAGAGACTGCCTAGCATGGATAAGGCCAGTCTGGGTTTAATCCCCAGCACAGCCCCCCCGCCCCCCAAAAAAACTGTGGGTAAGAAAATCCCATATACACCTCTCATCCCAAATGGCTCCTAGCAAAAGCTAACTGGGATACTGTACATAGAATCTGAACTTCTGGGAAGCAACATAGAATAGATAAAGACCATAGTTGTGGAGACAGTGAAACTAGAATTCAAGTTCTCGTTTCAACAGTGACTAGCTGTGGGATCATAAAAATGTTAATCATCTCTAAACCTCAGCTTCCTCATCAATAATAGTACCTACAGTTTAAATATTACTTTGAAAATTAAATGTGATAACACATTTACAGAGAAAATATTCAGTAAGTGTTATTAGTAATATTAGTCTAAGACTACCTTAGGAGGGTAGTAATATACTATTAAGTAAACCAGATTAAGCAATAGCAATTATAAATCAAGAAACAGTTATGAGGAGTCTACCTGCACTGCCAGTCAAGAGTCCTACTGTACTCTTGTTTTTCAGATATTTTGGTCCAGTTTTGCCCTTTCTCACTTCTTTGAAACCTGAATTTTAAATTTCCCTAAATAGTACTTCAAGTATCTTTCAAAAAAAAAAAAAAAGAAAAAACTTATCATCTTACTGTATAACATCAACCAGAAATGCTTGTTCCCAGCATGAGGCAAGTTATAAGGACTAAGAATAAGGAGACAGGATAACTTAGAAACCACACTATGTCAAAAGAATGTTTCTAATCTCTTCAATTATAAGATGAAAAACTAATGTCCAATGAAGCTAAAGGCTCATTTATTTTCACTTAGGTAATTAACAGGAGAATTAAAACCAAAATCCAGATCTCCTGATGCTCAATTCAGAGTTCATTTTGTTTTTGAGGGGTACTGCAGACTGAACCCAGGGCCTCACGCATACTAGGCAAGCGCTCTACCACTGAGCTACATCTCTAGCCCCAAAGTTTTGGGATTTTGTTTTGTTTTCGTTTTAAGTGCTGGGGATTGAACCAAGGCCTTGTAGGTGCTAGGCATGTGCCAAGTGCTCTGACACTAAGTTACATGCCCACCCCAAATCAGAGTTTTTCCTACCATATCTCTTCTGTAAAATAAGAATGATAATTAAGACAGTACCTAACTGATATAAAGTATTTAGAATAATGCCAGGCAAACAGTAAGCATTTAATAAACATTAGCTCCTGTTGGTGGTGGTGATAATAGTAGTTGCTGTCATTATTCATATTTCATTCAATAAACACTGACTATTACTATATAATGATTTCATCCTATTTGCCTCAATCAAGTCTTCACTGCATAGAGCTTTATTTTTTGAAATTCATAAAGCAGTCAGCTTTGTGCATTTTCAAAGTTAATATAAAAGCATGTTCTAAATTGAGATATAATTAGTGTAGATACCCCCTACTGAAAATCATCTTTACCTTCTGTTCCCTTCCACCAGTACCAGTAATGAGACTTGATGGCTCTTAATAATGTAAAAAAAAAAAACCACATATACAAAGAGGAAACATGATAAAATTCCTGTCCTCCAGGAACTTATAGTCCAATTAGGAAGGTCAGACACAAGAAAGAACTCAATGAAAGAGCAAGGCTAACTTCTGGATGCTGTAAAGGTTTACAAAAGGGACAGAACAATGCAGACAATAGCCTTGAAAGAGAGAAGAACGAACTTTGGATAAGTTGTGAAGAAAAGTTAAGGTCTAAATAGCCTGGAAAGAAAAAGTCCCTAGTCTTCAAAGATGTCCCATATTAAGAATTAATCACTGTTGTGCTTATATTTATCAGTTCTGCTAGAACAAATTTTAAATATACTATAAAACATGTCTCAAGTTTAAATTAAAAAGTGGATCTTCTGTTTTGTTTGTGATTTACTGAATTTTACATATTGTTAGTAATGAAACCAAAAGTGCTTGCATTGTTAGTACTGAGGGTGAAGCAAGAACACAAAAGATAATCACTAGACTTAGCCAGGTCATGTTAGCAAGAAACCTATTAGTGGAATGGTGATGACAGAAGTCCACTTGTATAAGAGAACAGATGGTGGTAAATTTAAAAACAGCATAGGAAGCTCTGAGGAATCTGGTTATGAAAATCTGGTTAAGAAATGTCAGGTCCTCATTACCTCACCTCATTCCAAAAGCTTCCTACTGGCCTCCTAGACTCACAATCCCCTCCCTGTTAATCACCTCAAGTCCACACACACACTCCAAGAAAAACCTATCCTGACTTTCAATGTCTCCCTCTCTCCCAATTAAACCTAAACTGATTTTCAACTACATTAGCCATTTTGGTCTTTCTCTAAATTTCTAGAGCAATTATAACTTAATTGGGCATTGAACATGCTGCTTCATATGCACAGTTGAATCATATTTCTAAACTTTCTAGTCTCACCCATCTCACCACCTCCTACTGAAGATGGTGACCAAACACTAGTGCTTCTGATGCTACTTGTAACATGCCAAGTACAAATTATCTAAAAAACAACAGTGATTAGATAAGGAGTAAGAGCCATCTTTTCCCATTGTTTTGTTTTGTTTTTTAATATCAGGGATTGAACCCAGGAGACTTCTTTTCTGAAATGCCTTTTCCATCTCACTTTATATGAATAGCTTCTACTTTTCCTTCAAGAATCAGACCAAACATCTCCCTCTCCCAATACAGAAAGTATGGTTAATCCCCTCTTCCCAATCTCTCTCTCCTAAAATTAATGAAATCTTGGTCCTATAGTGGCATATAAATATCTCTAGCACAGAAGTTATAAAGTCCTATAATTTGAAGCCTTTCAAAGTTGCACTATAAAAAATTATAATAATCATCAATGAGACTGTCAGCTCCTGAAAGTAAGAACTTTCATGATTAAAATAATGACCATCCAATGGTGCACTCCCCACCAAAGACCATAACAGCTGTATGAGCCAAAACACTTGTTAGGGGCTAAAACATCCGTTAAAATCAAAAAAGAAAAGGTGAACAAGAGGACTTAATAGCATAAGGGAAGGATATTCACAGGATCAAAATCCTTTAAAAGCTCAAAAAAAAAAAAGAAAAAAAGCATAATGCAGAACACATAATGACAGGCAACATTATACAGGACCAGAAAGTTATGTTGGAATAGCAGAGAAAATAAGAGCAGAGTCACTTGTGGGAGAAATCAAGTATGGAGAGTGTACGGTGAAAGTCTTAAATCTATGATGATATCTGTCACTTAAAAGAACTTCCATAAGGAATTTCCTTTACATAAAATTAAAGGGTAAGAAACATCAAGATATAACAACTCAAACCTAAATCATGAAATGAGAGTAAATAAAAGGGCTCTAATCTCATTTCATTAAACACTACCACTGATAAAATCCCCACACACAAACTTTTTAGTTACTTTTATCGCAATGTTCTGGTATCAACCCTGCAATCTTCCTAATTCCCAAGAGGTAGTAAAGGCTTACTCAGAAAAGTTTTCAAGTTCCAACAGTATCAAAAGGGAGGAGAATGACAGAGAGATTGTAGCCCTTCACAGAGTAAGAGGAAAACACCAGAGACAATAAAAGGAATAATAATAATGAGGATAAAGACGTTGTGGCCCAAATATTACTAAATCTTCCCACTCCATTCCTGGCATTCAGCATTTCATCTTAAGCCTTGGCAGCATATGGAAAATTGAGCAACTAAGAACTCTGAAGAAATCCTGCAATTACAATAGCAGTGATTATTATATACTTCCGATCATATGCATCTCT